GTGTGTGTGTGTGTGAGTGAGTGAGAGAGAGTGTGTGTGTGTGTGAGTGTGTGTGTGTGTGTGTGTGTGCGCGTGCGTGTGTGTGTGTGAGAGAGAGTGTGTGAGAGTGTGTGAGTGAGTGAGTGTGAGAGAGAGAGACTGTGTCAGGACTGTTGGTGTCTCCTCACGATCACGTGTGTGTGTGTGTGTGTGTGTGCGCGTGCGTGTGTGTGTGTGAGAGAGAGTGTGTGAGAGTGTGTGAGTGAGTGAGTGTGAGAGAGAGAGACTGTGTCAGGACTGTTGGTGTCTCCTCACGATCACGTGTGTGTGTGCTGTGCTGCTGTGCCGCAGGGAGAGTTACGCTCGTGTGAGAGCGGTGGTCATGGGTCGTGATGACTCCAGCGGCGGATGGCTTCCTCTGGGCTCCGGTGGACCCAGCTGCGTCACTGTGCACAAGGTCAGCCGGACCGAGGCCGACGGCTCCAGCGGAGCGGATTTCCTCATCCACGGAGAGCGGCTCAGAGACAAAACGGTACTGTGACATCATCATCATGACCTCACGCCTGCACAGGAATTGTTTGTTCGCCGCTCCTGCATTCAATAGTTTTTCTGAGAAAAGCCCCAAAGTGAAGATCATTCAGAGAGATTATTGAGGCCGATTGAAACTAAAACTTTGGCTTTATAAGTAATGTAAAGCTAATATAAAATGATATAAGCCGGTCGCAGTGACACCGGTGCAGACGGACGTCTGTCTGGATCGTGAAAACACTGAGTCCAGTTCAGAATGAAGCAGAAGCACACGCTCACGTTTCACAGCTCAAACAGCAGCCCACAGATGCTTGTGTTTCCTGTTAGATTTCACTCAGAAATGCAGCACGACTTTAACTTGACAGTGTTAGTTTAGTATCATTTTTATTAACATGTTGAATTAGTTTTGCTAATACTTTATTTTGATCGTTCACTTCAGACATTCTACTAACTGTATGTGGCTTTTTGCAGCTACATGTCAACTAACGTAATTACAAATTAATGAGAGTTAGCTGACATGTTATCGTTAGTGGAATAATAGAATAGGTTGACAGAATAAGTTGACATGTAGTTGCAAAGTTACTAATAGTCTGTTGAATGTCTGATCATCACCTTAAAGCAAAATATAGCAGATATTAAGCAGACGGTCTACTAATACTCTAATGACTGCTAGTTGACATGTAGTTGCAAAGTTACTAATAGTCTGTTGAATGTCTGATCATCACCTTAAAGCAAAATATAGCAGATATTAAGCAGACGGTCTACTAATACTCTAATGACTGCTAGTTGACATGTAGTTGCAAAGTTACTAATAGTCTGTTGAATGTCTGATCATCACCTTAAAGCAAAATATAGCAGATATTAAGCAGACGGTCTACTAATACTCTAATGACTGCTAGTTGACATGTAGTTGCAAAGTTACTGATAGTTAGTAGAATGTCTAAATAAAGTGTTATTTTGTTTTTAAGTTTAGCTTACAGTATTTGATTTATTTTAAAGATTTAGTCATTTAGTTCTGTGTTTAGGCTCTTTTTAATGTCTTTGTCATTTTTATTAAAGTACTTGAAACGAAATGAAAAATGAAATGAAATGTTGCCTTGGCAACTACGAGAAATTAAGTTATTAAATAAAAATATTAGTTACAAAGTCATTATTTTATTTTATTTCAGCTAGCATTTGTTTTATTTCAAGTAATGGCATTTTTAGTTAGTTTTTTACAGTTAACTGTAATAACCCTGACACACGCCGCTCATGCTGTGAGATGTAGCCGCTTTGATGAGCGTCAGACACACGTGAGGCTCATTAACTGCGCTCTGTGTGAGTAACGAGACCTCGCTCTGGGCTGCAGGTGCTGCTGGACTGCGTCATCAGGAGGGATCTGGTGTATAATAAGGTCAATCCCATCTTCCACCACTGGAGGATCGGCAGCATGAAGTTGGGCCTGACCTTCCAGAGCCCAGCGGACGCCAGGGCCTTCGACCGCGGGATCCGGCGAGCTCTGGAGGACATCACACAAGGTGAGCGGCTCCATTCTGAATCTGAACTGAATCAGCAGCGGTGGTGTGACTCATCTCAGCCTGGAGCTTTAACACATTCATGGAAATGTTTTCAAAATGCACAATGTGTGCCATATAAATCCGTGTATCATTCGATCATTCGTTTTTTTTATTTAATATTGAAAGTAGAAAAATAAGAAAACGGCTCCTTTTTAGTTTTTTTTTTTTTTTCCAAAAAACTAAAAAGGAGAATTCAGCTTAAATTCGTAGTTTTTCGATCATGGGTGGCAAAATGAATAAACAGCTTGAATATTCGATTTCTACATGTGGACGGGAATTAAACGCCCCTTTCTGCTGATTGGTCAGCCGAAGATCAACCCGTGCCGTCATCAGTTCTTCTGCAGTATCATGCAGCAGAATAATAGTCCTCCACTGCTGCAGTTGTACGGATTAATAACACATTTTATCAATTTCATATTTTTCTCATCAAACAGGCTAATGAATAGCTGGACACAACTGGTACCGGGGCAGAGTCTAGCCAGGGCTTTCTTCTGTGTAGACCAGCGGTTCTTAAAGTGATAGGGGGTCCGAGAAATAATTTGCTATAGCCTAAAGTATTTCCAGACTGTAAAGTCGCTTTATTTTATCATGATACATAGGCCTACTGTGATTTATTCCAAAGGGACTTATATGATGCATTTAATGTAAAATTATCTAAATGAAGCCTTTTAAAAGACAAGTATTCGCTGTGGTTCGTGTTTGTGGCATGCTCCAGAAAGATGCTCAAGGAGACCGAGACGTGCTAAAGCAGCGCATTCTGTTGTTATTAATTTCTTAATTAAACAAACAGACTTACTGTGTGAGCAGGGTAGGCTATCAGACAGACAGCTGTTATATCATACCCTGCCATGCCCAGCTGATGCAAAGAATATAATTTATATCTACACAGAAGAAAGCCCTGTCTAGACTCTGCCCCGGTATGAGTTGTGTCCAGCTATTCATTAGCCTGTTTGTTTGATGAAAAAAGATGAAATGTAGTTGCAATAAATGTGTTAAGAATCCATACACCTGCAGCAGCGGAGGACTATTATTCTGCTGCACGGAACAGCAGAAGAACTGATGACGGCACGGTTTGATCTTCGGCTGACCAATCAGCAGAAAGGGGCGTTTAATTCCCACCCACGTGTAGAAATCGAATACTCCAGCTGTTTATTCATTTTTCCACCCATGAATGAAAAATTTAAACTTAAGCTGAATTCTCGTTGAAGGAGCCGTTTTCTAATTTTTCTACTTTCAATATTAAATCAAAAAACGAATGATCGAATGATACACAGATTCATATAGTGTCTCATTTAACGTCACTCTTGATGAGTTTGTATTTCTGAAAACCACACTACGAGTGCTTTCATTCATGATATTCAGACTGTAGTCAGAAACACATTGACACACTCACCGTGTCAGATAGATTCATTAAAGCGGTGCTTCTTGATCCTGTGGTGCTGTGCGTGTGTCGAGCGCGTCTGCAGTGGAGTATGCTTTAAAAGCTGTGCGCGAGACAAAGCACGGAAAGTGAAGTATACCTGGGCCTTAACAAACATGTTTTCCTCCTGAATCATCAATGATCTGAATAATGACTTGCTTGGAAACAGTCTGTATTGTATAAAACGCTGTAATCACATTTTTTACAGTGCTTTATGCAATGCAGATTGATTCTTCACAGTAACAAACTGGAAAATGACAGTGTTAATGTTGTAAAAGTCACCAGTTTTGAACAGATTTCATATTCAGTTGTTTGTTCCATGTTGAGTTTATGTTTTTAAATCAGCGTGAGATCGAATGACGGCGTTTGTGAAAGTCTGCTCTGACCGCGGCTGCTTTAGTCGCATGTTTCAGCGGCGCTCGGTTCACACGCTCCACCTGATGACGTCATGCTCGTTTGCTGAAGTGGAATTTTCCAGTGTGTGTTGTGTAACGGAGCGCAGCTTCTTCAGTATTCCTGCTGCATGACTCCAGACTGCAGCCTGCCGGCTCTCAGGAGCCTGTTACTGTGGCAACCGGGACACAGCGCTGCTGGACACGTCACGTCACGTCAACACACACACACACACTCTCTCACACACACACAGACACGTATAACACACACACACAGGTATAACACGCACACGTCAACACACACACAGACGTATAACACACACATATAACACACAGCGCTGCTGGACTCGTCACATCAACACTCAAACACAGCACTGCTGGACTCGTCACGTCAACACACACTCTCACACAGACATGTATCACACACACACACACACACACACACACACACACACACACACACACACTCTCACACAGACATGTATCACACACACACACACACACCCGGAGCAGTTGGGGGTTTGGTTCTTGCTCAAGGGTCTCTCCTCATTCGTGGTATTGAGGGTGGAAAAGAGCGCTGGCCATTCACTCCCCACACCTACAATCCCTGCCAGACCTGAGACTCGAAACCGTGACCTTTGGGTTGCAAGTCCGACTCTCTATCCACGACTGCCCCAGATGAACACAGTGCTGCGCTTCACTCTGAAACACACAGCGCATCAGATTATACAGCTGTTTGATTCAATCACAGCCTTTGATTTGATCATCACACTAAGACCTGGCACAATTATCCTGCAGCTTCATTCATTTATTTTAATTTTAAAGTGAATATAATTGTTAGCTTTTCATCCCCTCATAAACCCTCTGTTTGGGAAACTCTGTCTTATGGAGCAGAGAGGCCTATATGATATCACACTATTTCATTTAAAGATAAATCACACACTCACACACACACATTCACACACACACACACACACACACAGGTGTTCATCGGCGCAGGTGAGTGTGTCTGAAGCGGTCCACAGATACCCATGAGTCCGCTGTGTGACTGTGGTCACGTGATCATACATGTGTTAATAAAACTTTACAATGGTACATAAATATTTTTAAAAATGTAAGCTAAACAAAAATTAGAAAGGTTTCCTTTGCAACTAACTGAAATTGAAGTTGAAGCACTAAAATTAGTAACTGGAAATAAATAAAAACTGAAAATAATATAAATCAAAAGCAAAAGCTAAATGAAAATGTTAATGATAATGTAATAGTATATAAAATATACTAAAATAACGCTGCAGAGATGCTGTGGTTCAGGAGTCTGCGATGCCTCTCGTCCGTCTCCTGCAGTGTCGTGTTTGATTCATTCATAGATTAAGAGCTAAAAATGCGTGTCCTTTGCCGTGGAGATCAGCCGTGATCAGGCCCAATCACACGCCTGTTGCTAGGCAGCAGGAGAGTTGCGGCGAGCGTGTCTCCATGGTGATGCAGAGCCACAGTCAGTCACGTGTGTTTCTGTCAGAGCAGCAGGTGAGCGACTCTCTGCTTCTGTGTTACAGTAAAGCTGCTGTCCGCCGCAGGGCATGCTGGGAGTTCATGGAGCTGATCTGTGTACGTGCACGTCAGCTGGACGTTTGTGGCCGTATCCTCGTGTTATTTCAGTGTTGCATGTGTCGTGTGTGTGAACGTCTGAGCCGGACCCATCAGAACACACGCAGACAGCAGATCTGCTTTTCTGTATTCAGATGGAGAGCAGTGAGTGTGTGTGTGTGTGTGTGTGTGTGTGTGTGTGTGAGAGAGTGAGTGTGTGTGAGTGTGTGTGTGTGTGTGTGTGTGTGTGTGTGTGTGTGTTTGAGCATTTGTGTGTGGGAGTGTGTGTATGCGTGTGAGTGTGTGTGTGCGTGTGAGTGCGCATGTGTGTGTTTGTGTGTGTGAGTGAGAGTGAGTGTGTGTTTGAGCATTTGTGTGTGTGAGTGTGTGTATGTGCGTGTGAGTGTATGCGTGTGTGTGTGTGAGTGTGAGTGCGTGTGTGAGTGTGTGTGTGTGTGTGTGTGTGTGTGTGTGT